AACTAATAATTCAAATATTAAAGCAAATATTGCTTTAAATAGAATTCTGTAAAAAGTATACTAATAAAATATATACTTGTTATTTAATGGGTATGATGTACAACCTGTGCAACTACATATTCAATTAAACTAATTTAATAAATTAGACTTTCTTATTTTAGTAATCAGTTTTAGATTGATCGACTTCTAATATTATCAATCTTTTTTTTCTTTATAAAACAGTAAAATGGGTAAAAGAAATCGTACTACTGCTCCTACTGAAGAAGATGTTCTTGAATTACAACAAATCTCATGTGTGAAAAATATTGACAAGTGCACTTTAAAGTAATTACGTTAAGTTGACAGATTTTATGAAATTATTGGGTATGATAAAAGTATCAAAAAAATTGATACAGCCACAGAATTAGATGACTTTCTTTGCAGGTTCCTTATCTGATTAAAACATTTAGATAGTAAAGATTACAAAGCAGAAAGCGTCTATAACTGTTATGCATCTATAGCTCATCATCTAAAGAAAAACAGTGAAATCAAGCTGTGTAAGTTATAGGATTCTTACTATTTTGAAAAGACATTGAGAACACTTGATGGTAAGATAAAGAAACTTCAAAATGCAGGGTTGGGAGAAACAGAGCAAGTGTCTGCATTAAGTGTTAAGGAAATTGTACAAATTCTTGAATACAAAACAATGCAACTTAATATGAATGAAGGTTTGGTAAGATGAGTTTTTTTTTGGCTGTTGCTTTTATGTAGTTTGCATGGTGGCAATGCCAAAAGAATTAACTTTAAAGATATAACACATCGTGATGATAGTGGACTTTTTCTGATATTTAATCATGAGAAGAATAATCAACATGGGGTATTAAGCATAATAAATATGGGAAAAGTTCTGCACGAAAGATTCCTATTCCTCCTGATGATGTTAATAATCAGTTTAAACCCATACAAGATATATTGCATATGATATCATTATGTCCTGTGGATGCTTGTATATTACTTTTTCTAGAGACTACACGATCAACAAAGGGTTTAAATCATTTATGGTTTTGAGTTTTTTTTTATTTATATATATAGTTTTTGTTATTAACATTTTTTTTTTTTTTGCTAGATCTAAATAAAGGAATTTGGTTTAAAAAAACCCAGGTGAGTGTGAATAAATTAAACATGATAATGGCAACAATTGCAGAACTTAAAGGAATTAACCTGGATGGTGGCTGTAAAATCAGTAACCATTCTCTTCGACATATAGCAATTCAAAGGTTGAAAGATTTGGAAGTTCCAGAGGATGAATGTATGAAATTCTCTGAACACCGTAGTTAAGAAGGGATCTGGGCATATAGTAATACAAGCAATAGTCAAAAGCTCAGAAATACATCAATATTAATTCTTATGGATATGGACAATATTTTATATGAAGAATTTGACTATTTTCCAGAGGGCGCAAAAAATTATTTGGAGTTTAAAGAGAATGAATATAACAAAGGTATTTATTTGCGAATCAATTTTATTACTTGATTATTTATAACAAATCAATTTTATTACTTGATTATTTATATACATATTTTTTATTAATATATTTTTAATCATTATTTTACATTATAAATTAGAAGAGATGTCATCAGAAGCATCACCAGGACCACCACCAGAAGCACCACTGAAATTATCTTCGGAACTATCACCAAGACAATCGCCAAGGCTTTTGTCAAAAAAAGCAGCAAAATCATTGTATATATCAAAATTGTATACACCATTCAAACCACCTTTTTAAAAAAAAAGTATTGAATCTTCACAAATTCTCTAGATGCCACAACCTTCATGCATTTCTATACTTTTATCATCAAGTCCTTCTGCAGATCCAAGATCATATTTGAGTGATATTTCTAATCACATTACGCCTATAACTTATGAAGATATTAGAAATTTTAATAATAGTAGGATGGGCGAAAAAGAAGTTCACTATCACTTCCATTTTTATTTTTTAAAAAAAATGTATTTTTTTAAAAAAGAATGTATTTTTTATTTGAATTAAAATAAATAAAGCATTGCATATATTATAATTCTAAAAAATTAGCTTTATAAAATATTTACTACTAGGTTATTTTCACTAGTCTATATGAAATCACAATTTTTATATAAACCAGTGAAAATAACCTAGAAGAAAAAGTACAGATTGTTACATAGTATCCATGAAATAAATACTAAACTATTGTTTAGGTGACTAAAATAAATAAAATATAGTATAAACTATATAAATAAACTAATAATACTATAAAATATACAATAATAATATAA